AGTCACACGGTGTTGACCAAGGCAGGGGTGTGGGGGCAATAAAGAGAATGAGCTAATAGTGTGATCCACGGAGCATGCCAGTCATCCGATTGTGCCAGTATTGATGGGCTCTTTTGTGCAAAGGATGTGTATTTAAAACCCATTTATGTGACTCTTACCGTGTGGGAAATGGATGTGTATGGGATGGGATCCCATCACCCACACAAAGCGACCCAGTAGCTATAAGGCTGCTTTAGGGAAAAGCCCTACAGACAGCCTTATCTTGACGACAGGAAGAGGAAATGCAAAACGTAGCTTTATGAAGCTTCTAGCACTAGCTTATGGAGCCACTTTCTCTCCCTCTGTTGGGGCCCTGTACTGCTAGTAAGCAGTTGGCTAACTTTCCAGCTAAGTATTGTGTACCCTGCTGTCCAGGGTGGCAAGAGTTAAAAGGACAACCCCCCCCCCCCACGGTCCCTGTGCATGCAAATCCCCTCATGAGGCATCTATTTTACATATTTGGTGAACCTCGAGATGGGACGGTTCGGGGGGAAGAGTTAGTAGGTAGAAATTGGGAAAGACTTACCTTGGATCATTTAGGAAATTTAAGGTTCAGAGCTTGCTCTGTTGGGCCATGGGATGAAGCCCAGTTAGATGTGGAGGATATGTGTATAGCAGAAAGAGAACAGGTGAGAATTTGAGCCCGGCAGGAAGGGGCACAGAACCATTCTGCTAGCGTAAGCTCATCTGTTACAGCTTGTCAGGGGCATGCAGGATGGCCTTGGGGACCAGATGCTGAAAAGGCTGAATCAAGGTGGAGCAGGAGGTCACCGTGATTCAGGCCCAGAAAGGCAGCCCTGTTGGTTGAAAGCAGGGTTTAAGTCCGTGATAGCCTGAGAGCCTAAGGGTCAGCACTATTTCCAGGTGACTCTTGTGGGACAGAGTGGTTATTCCCTTACAGGGGAGGGGCTGACACACCAAACTGCGTTTACCAAGAATCCAAACATTCTGCGCCTCTGTGGAAACACCCGGGGGTCCAGTTTTACAGGTCCCCATCCCCATTCCTAATAAACGTCCCCTGTAGGCTTGGGGCTGGCTATTACTCAGGGGGAAAGGACAGGGGTTATTTGAATAAGTACGATACTCCCTTTTTAATACTATTTTCCAAAAGGAAATGTCTTGTGCTACTTTGTAAAATAAATGACTTTCAACAGCATTAATACTTACACTAACTTGGGGCCGGGCGCGGTGGCTCACGCCTGTAATCCTAGCACTCTGGGAGGCCGAGGCGGGTGGATCGTTTCAGCTCAGGAGTTCGAGACCAGCCTGAGCAAGAGCGAGACCCTGTCTCTACCAAAAATAGAAAGAAATTAATTAGACAGCTAAAAATATATAGAAAAAATTAGCTGGGCATGGCGGCGCATGCCTGTAGTCCCAGCTACTGAGGGGGCTGAGGCAGGAGGATCGCTGAAGCCCAGGAGTTTGAGGTTGCTGTGAGCTGGGCTGACGCCACGGCACTCTAGCCTGGGCAACAGAGCGAGACTCTGTCTCAAAAAAATAATAATAATAAAAAGTAGGAAACAAAATATCAAAAGAATATTTCATCACATGAGAATGATATGAAATTCAAATTTCAGTGTGCATAAATGAAGTTTTATTGAAACCCAGTGAGACTCATTTATTTATATATTGTCTATGTCTGCTTTTGCACTAGAAGGCAGAATTAAGCAGTTCCCCACAGAGCCTAAAACATTTACTACCTGGCCCTTTACAGAAAGAGTTTACTGACCTCTGATCCGCACAATGAAGTGGTCATTGTATAGGTGAAAAAGACCTACCCTATTATTTAGGTTTAAGCAGTTACAGAAGGTTCACCCATTTGACATGGCAGTCAGGGGTCACATATCATGGGGGAGTATTTAATTCTTGTGTGTATCCTGTAAAGCCCACTATGGAGTATTTATTAGGGAAGGCTGGGTACAGTTTAGGAGTATGTGGATAAATGGAGGAAAGTGGGCCCTATACCAAAGATTGGTCACCCAGAGATGAAGCAGATTAATTGGATCAAGGCCACTACTATCCTATAAGGACCTTTGTGTCAATTGGATAAAGGCACCCATCTTTAAGACGCTTTATTTTCAAGTGCTACACTTTTTTTCCTAAGTAAAAAGACACTTCAAGGTGCAAGGTTGTGGGCTTTATAGTCCCTCATGAAAGTTCCTGTTATCAGGCATTCGTGCACGGAACCCTTCTCTTTATGGCCTTCCTCAGCTCTAGTTGTCAGGTTTTTTGTTAACACAAGTGACTCCATTCCGATTCCAACAACTTTCACACTATGCAGTCACATATCTCTTTGAGGTGCCCCAGGGCCCTCTAAAATGTATTTGCTGCCCGTCAAATAGTCTGTGTCTGAGATGAGTACACCCCCAGCCATCCTTCCTGTCTGGTGAGGAGGACTCCAGGGATTGTCAAGGGGTGCAGTCAGGCCTCCATGCCTTGCACTGCTGCTCCAGCCTCCCCTGGGAAGCACGCTGTCTGAGGGGAGTGAAGGGAAATGACATCTTCCTGCCTGCTCCAGTCTAGGGTGAGGGAAACTAGCTGGCTGTGCTTGGGAGGGAAAGGAAACTGGTCGGAGTGGCTACTAGTGACCTGGGGCCTTGAGGCAGCCCATTGCTTCGGAGAGAGCGCTGGACAGGGCAACGCGCCAGCACTCTGAGAAGACTCGAGAATGATGCGGCCCAAGCATTCACCCCAGTCAAGAAATACAGGCAGCACTGGCTTCTCTGGGCACCTCGATTATCAAAAAATGGGGGCAGAGGCAGACCCTCAGGGTCACTTTACATACACATACCTAGTTACACCATAAAATCGCTTTCAAAAGATACTAACTTATCTTCCTTGTAATTGGCGGTATGAATAATATATAATAAATGTAAATATGAATTCAACTTGCTTCATTTCTGCATTCAGTGTAAATAAAAATATTTGATATATTCTCTGTGGGTAATAAATATATTTTTGTACTTTAAAAGCAGAAGAGAAGGTGTAAGTAAGCCCTTAAAGAGCTGATGAGTCCGGGTAGAACCATGAGGTCCTTGTAGATGGGCAGGTACAAAATTTTGCCTGGCACAAAATTCAATCAATCAATTAAACCAATGTGTTTCTTGACTATTTCCTCTCTGAAATATTGTGAACCGTAGTACAACTGTATTTCAAGTGTTCCCCAAACACTTCTCAAGTGGCCGGCCCCATGGTACTACCAAAAGATGTGGAGTACAAGTAGTGGGGGCCATGAGCACATTCCTATAGGTTGTGCACTGCACAACCCCAGCAGGGCTGTGTACCTAAACAGAACATACATGCACACAGCAACTGCTAGTAATCCTGATTTATAAGCCACTGAAGTTTCAAATGTCTAATCACAAAAGACAAAGACTAAATTCTTCTACATTTAAGAGACACTAAAAGGACATGACAACTAAATGCAATGTGTGGTCACGGGCTGGATCCTGGAACAGAAAAAAATATATTTTTTCTTTACTATGAAGTGCAGTAGTGGCGCAGTCGGCAAAATTTGAATAAGGCGCATGGTACTGTACCAGTGTTCATTTCCTGGCTTGGGTATTGCACTGCAGTTATGTTTCAGGGGAAATATTCACAGGAGAATTCGAGGGTAAACAGGCACCGTGTCTGCAATGTACTGTCAAACATTTCAGAAAAAAACAGACTAAAGCAAATGTGGTAAAATGTTAACCTTTGGGGAATCTGAGTTATTCAGGAATTCTTTGTGCTGTTTTTGTAACTTTCCTGTAAGTCTGAAGTTACTTTAAAATAAAAAATCAATCTTCAAATTACCAACTTTCATGGTGGAAAGTAAATACACTTAACAGACGGAATCACTTTTTTGGCACCTGGACTGGAAACTGCTGGAGTGCAGGCCTGTAGTCCCAGCTCCTCAGGAGGCTGAGACGAGAGGACTGCTTGAGCCCAGGAGGTCGAGGCCGAATTGTGCTATGATCGCATCTGTGATAGCCAATAGCCATGCACTCCACCCTAGGCAACATAGCATAATTGTCTCTAGAAAAAAAAAAAAGAAAGAAAGAAAAGAAACTTGGAAATAAACCTGATTTATGTCCTTTTCAAAGAGTTGTCTGGTTTACAGTCTTGACCTCTGGAGTGAGGAAGAGGCCAGGATGCTCCCCAAGTCAAAGATCTGGTGCTTTCTACACGGATGTGGTCCATGAGGGTGCCGCCTGCCTCACCACACTCGCTCGGAGAAATTTAAAATGTCCTATTTGCTACAGCTAAGAGAATCGATGAGGCATGTGCTGTCATCTGAAAACC